TAAAATATTATACAAACCCTGAAAATTTGGTAAAAATTGTATAAATAATAAGAAAGTTATAGCGATATATATATCTGCAAAATCTCCCGTTTCCTAAGAAAATTGCAAAAACTCTTTAAAAATAGCATTTTTAAATTACTTATACTTTTTTATAACTTATTTATTTTTTACCAAATTTTCAGGGTTTGTATAATATTTTATGCTCTTTTTAATGGGTCCATTTATAACTTTTTTTACTCATACAAAAAAAAGTTAAAAAGTTAGCCTTTTTTTAAAAGCTAAAAATAAAAGGTAAACTTTTTAAAAATAAAAATCGCTTCGAGGGGTATATGCCAAAATAAGCTGAATTTTTCATAACTTCTAATAATTTTGAGATAGTATTCACGAAAAAAATTTCTGTATAAATTATGAAGTGTCCGAACATTATGTGGTTAGGGCTCGTATAGTATTATGTATTGAATCTTAGATGTTGGAGTGATATTAGGTTGGCCGAAGAATCACATAAAAACAATTATGTATATTTTATCTCTAGATTATAGGTACGAATAAAAATTTTGGTTAAACAGGCCAATATAGCCGCTAAGGCGATTTTTCGTTCGTTAAAAGAAAAGGATCAAAGAATTTGTATACAAATAGGCTTAAAAAATGAAATAACTTCTGTGAAATGTCAACAAAGGCCTATAGTGAGTCTGCTGTAAGTAAAACAAGAGTTTACAAGTGGTATAAGAGTTTCCAAGATGGCCGTGAAGACGTTGAAGATGACGAACGCACAAGCACATTAACAACCAATAAAAACATGGAAAAAGTGGAAGAAATGGTTGTAAACCAACAGAGAAGTCACTGATGATGTTGGTATATCGATTGGCTCATCCCATGAAATTTTTTCAAATGTTTTGGGTATGAAACGCGTGGCAGCAAAATTTGTTCTAAAATTGTTAAATTTTGAAAAATAATACTGCCCCAGTCTCCATATTCGCCAGACATGCCTCTGTCTGACTTTTTCCTATTCCCAAAAATAAAGAGAACCTTAAATTAAAAGCGCATCGCTGAAAGAACTAAAGGCTATCCCAAAGATCGAGTTTTAGAAGTGTTTCGAGTATTGGAGGAAGAGCTGGCACATGTGCATAATATCCAATGGGGACTATTTTGAAGGCGACAACATTAATGTAGACCTCGTGTAGCCTCACCCTTAAATACACCCACGAGCCGCCACTGCGTCAAAGTAGAAACCCCCTTAATGCAGCCGACGTTGGCAAATGCAGTTGAAAATCGCAGAAAATGTGTGTGAGAGATTGAAAGAGAACGGTTTCTGTTTGATGCGCTGTAAGTGGGAGACGCCAGAGGTGAAATTTCTATTAGTGAACATCCGGGTCGGGCATTTAAAAGAAATGATCCTCAATGAATTTTATCGGATATAAAGTGTATATTATACACGCAAATTAAGATTAAAATAAGATTTAGTTTTTTTAATGGACGTTTTTTTTTAATTCAGTAAATACCGTAAAATAGGTTCAAGTTTTAAAGACAATATGGAGATGAATACAGACTTCATTTAATGTTTTTTTCGTCAAAAGATATGCTAGTGAACAGTTTTCCAAAACAAATAAATTTGTATAGGTACTTATAATAATTATAAGTACCTATACAAATTTATTATTATTATAATTATTATAATTTTGCTAAAAAAATATTAAATGTGTTTAGTAATTTTAAAATGGTGTCTTGTAATTATACCAAACAATTCATTTTAACTCAGTTCAAGAAAATTACAAAATATATTTTACAATTTTACTGAACTGAAGAAAATTCGTTACGCAATATTACAATACAAATATTGTTATTTTGTACAACAAATTACACTAAAAATATTTAGTAATTTACGAATGATGGTATTGTAATTATACTACGAAAAAAACCTGCAATCTTCTTAGTTTCATCAAGAAACTTCCTTAACCCATTACTGTAAAGATTTAAAAAAAAAATGAACCTTCACCTCGCCAGAGTTTTTGTTTTAAGTGCGTTCCACCAACTTCAAATACCGACAGCTAGACAGATAGACCTATTATGGGTCTTATCAATGTCGGGCAATTTGGTGTATTGGAACACACCAAAAACGAAAGACACCTGAGCTTATATACTGTCCACGTAAGTCAACCGAGGCGAGATGTAAGAACATCACGTGATTGCCGCAATCGGTACATAATATGCATTTTACATAACTTATAGAAAATCAAATTACCAACGACGTTTGTAAATCTGAGATGCTTTTTATTAGAAACTGTCAAACTGTTTGGTAAAATTACAATGCGTGTAGGATTTATACATATAGATTGTAAAATTACAACTTATCTTAGTAGATGTTTTGGAAGATTACTCAAATTGTATTATAATTTTGTATTGGTATACACTGATTTGTAATATTACTCATCCTTTGTTTGGCAAAACAATTGTAATTTTACAAAACAGTGTATACATGATTAAAATGATATATAGTAAAAATGCAAACAGAAGTTGTTTAAAATAAATAATGATTTGTATATTTCCAAACACTTCTTGTAATTCAAATAGCAAATTTTGGTTAGTAATTTTATTGATTATCTTAGTAAAATTAAATTCCGAATAATATGTATAGAAATTTTACAAAATTTCAAATTCAATTTTACAATACAGAATTGTAAAATTACTTTAAGTATCTGGCAAAATCAAAAACATAAGTTAAAATATATTTGGTAAAATATAACTGTTGGTTAAAAAAATATACCCAAATTAACCAAAGCTGTGGTTAATTTACCAAAAAGTAAAATTAAATCAAAATATGTCTAAAAGAATAACTTCGCTAATAACCAACTTTATAGTAGATATTACTAATATTACTAACTAGTTAAATATTTGGTTTATTTATAGTCAATTTAAGCTTTTGATATAACCTCAATTTACCTAATTTTGAAAAAAAAAATGTTTTTCTAAACTTTTTAAACTTCGACCCAAGATATCTTTTGAATTGATAGGCTTACGAAAAACAATTGACTATTTGTTTTTGTTCACCCCGTTTTACGGTTACCTCTGCCCATGACTGCATCGCGTTAACATTGACTTAAATCAGTGCAGCCAACGCAAGGTCGCTCGGCAGTAGGTACACTACGGTGCAAAAATAATGCACCGTTCCGAGTTCCCATGGGTTTTCAAACGTTTGCAAACGCGATTTCGACTACTTATCTGTACGTATACGTTAAGTATAAATAAATAAAAGTGCAGCGAATCGTTATTTGTTTGTTTTAGATAAGAGAGCATTTTACTAAGAATAAACGGCCTCAGCCTCATTTCCCTTTTTGACGATAAGTTCACTTGACTCGTCTAAAAATGGCCATTTTTATAAAGCGATGAGATATAATTTAACTTGTTGTTTAAATTCTGTATAAAATTCCAAGTAAAATTACTATACCATGTTCTATACCTAAAGTGAATTTTTTTTCGTTAAAATTTGATAAATGCACTTCAATTATAAATCCTGTAATTTTTTTGACAACATTGGGATACTTTAAATTTTGAGCAAATAAAAAATGTGCGAAATCAAATGAAAAAAAAAGTATGCGACGGTCATGTTAAAAACTTGTTTATTTTTTATTTAAAACCCTTCCAAGTTTTATTTTTATGCACATAAAGCACTTTCTTCATCATTCTGGCATATTTGACCAATTGGTCAAATTTTAGGTAACTTAAGTTACCTAAAAGAAGAAAGTCAGTTGAACGCCCTTTATATAGTAGAACGAGGTGTGTTCAGAAAATATCGGGAATTTTCGTTTTTTGAAACAAATATTTATTTATTCGTCCACATTAATGTTGCCGCCTTCAATATAGTCCCCATTGGATATTATGCACATGTGCCAGCTCTTCTTCCAATACTCGAAACACTTCTAAAACTCGATCTTTGGGATAGCCTTTAGTTCTTTCAGCGATGCGCTTTTAATGTCATCTATGCTTGCAAAACGACGGCCCTTTAAGGTTCTCTTTATTTTTGGGAATAGGAAAGAGTCAGACAGAGGCATGTCTGGCGAATATGGAGGCTGGGGCATCATTACAGTATTGTTTTTGGCCAAAAATTTTGTTCAAAATTTAACAATTTTGGAACAAATTTTGCTGCCACGCGTTTTATACCCAAAACATTTGAATAAATTTCATGGGGTGAGCCAATCGATACACCAACATCATCAGCGACTTCTCTGTTGGTTTATAACCCTTTCTTCCACTTTTTCCATGTTTTTATCGGTTGTTAATGTCCTTGTGCGTTCGGGGCGTTCGTCATCTTCAACGTCTTCACGGCCATCTTGGAAACTCTTATACCACTTGTAAACTCTTGTTTTACTTATAGCAGACTCACTATAGGCCTTTGTTAACATTTCACAGAATTTACTTCATTTTTTAAGCAAAATTGGATACAAATTCTTTGATCCATTTCTTTTAACGGACGAAAAATCGCCGAGCTCATAAAGCACGTCTAACCTTAGCGGCTGCCACAGACAAAGTAAACAATGAAAACAGCTAAAGTTTTTATCATACTTCAGGGGCATGTATACCAACATAATAAAGAACATTTTATGACAACCGGACCCTCCGAACCCGCGAAATTAACAATTCTCGTTTTCTGAACAGTCAAAAAAATTAATAAAAAACCTAGAAACATAAAAAATGAATGAAAATTCCGGCGAAGCAGCCCGGGGGCCCACTAAACACCTGTGTAGGTACTTCATGTGCACTTCATCTCAGGCTCGGACGATGTCCGCTAGTTTACCGTAACTTGTCCCCATTGCCTTGGCGAGGAATGCGCGCCCGGCCAAGGTGCTAAACGTCGAGGTCGTCTCTCGAACGCCGGAACCCCCAGTTTTCGATTCGGGAAAACAGTTTTTCACGCGACTTTTGAAAGCCTGCGACGTTGCCGCGCTCGTTCTTAACTCCGCGCCGTCGTATCGGCTCAGTAGCGCTTTAACCTTCGCCAGCTAACGTCATGTGATTGTAGTGTGTGTGTCATCCATGCACCATCATATGTTTTGAAGCCGTGTTTTGTTCGACATTTTTGACGTTTATCCATTTGTGTTTTATTCGGTGATGTGCAGTGTGCCTTATTTCGGGAAAAATTGAGGTATTTATATTTTGTATCAACAACACAACAAATTCCTTTCAATATTCTTCGTACAAGTTTACTGTTAACTAGATTATACACCGATCTTCACAGAGCGTAAACCTACCTGATTATAGAGCTCGATATGTAATTAGACTATAGGATACCGTCATTGTTTTTTCCTCTTTAATTTACATGCAATTATTTAAACACCACCGCAACATTTTTGCTTGCCAAATGGTGCAAAATATTTTGACACCACTAAAAAGATCGTATTTTGTTTAGTACACCCTGCAAATTTCTTAGTAATGCGATTTTTATTATTGTTACCTTCTAATATAAATTTTATAATTATAGAAAAATCGGTTGTCATATTAGAACCACGAATACCCACCTACCGCAAGAATTAAACTCACAAATTACATATTATTCCAATTAAATTAGTCATATAATAATGAAATTCTCGAGATAAACAAAGCATATCGAACGAGGAGATAAAGCGGAGAGTCAAAGTTCGAAGCTTTGTCCCGATAAAATGGAACGTCGCTTTTGTTTACATCCGTTTAAGGAAAAACATCCTAAAAAACTCGGTTACGTCACCGTGGGTACGCGAAAAAAAATTCCGTCACGTCCTATCGACACTATCGGCTGAATCATCATCCAAGTCGGCGCTGGAGGGGCGGGGCCTTTGACGCGAAATGTCACTCGTTTTTCTCACAGCCTTCTTTCAGAATGCGTGCTAATTTTTTCTTTAATCGATTATTTTGCAACTTTTTTTAAGGCGCCTAAATGTTTCGTAACAAAGCTATCGGTGTTTTTGCGATTTTTATGTAAATAAACACCGTCTATTTATAAAAAATGATACGATTGCCAAACATTTGTAAAAAATGAATTATAACCTAGCTCAATGTTTATATTAAGTATTTACTTTTTGTCTGCGTCATATGAATACGAATTTTCGGTAAAAATGTGTTTTCAAACCTGGCTAAAAATAGTTACCCCCTGTGGACTCTACCTGCCCATAAATCACGTCTAAATTTAGCTCTCAAGAAGGGTCCTTAACCCCTAAAAATAGCCTCCTCGCTCTACTATACATCGTCCGTAGTAATTTTTTTCCGCCGATTCAGCATGTCTTGGAATGCCGACGAAATATGTAGAGGTGGGCGGGTACGCTGCGTCGAGTGTACGCTGTACGGTAAGCAAATTTCAACCGCGAACGTCGTAAGGAGGATGGAGCGTGACCTTGAAAGTTCAACGTACCAAAAGTGGGCGCTCGCGGCCCAAAAACAGCAACCCTTAAGGGGCGCTTCCACTATGTTTGCTCCAAATACAAGTCAATTTTTAGACCACTTGTATTTAACACGATTTTTCACTTAACAAATTTTAAAAATAATCCCGTGTCCCACCGTTTCATTGAAATTTTTTACACAGCCATTCTAATTATTTTAACCTAAAAAGATTTTTAATTCTCTATTTTGTTTTTTCTTCAAAAAATTTATGTTTTTACATAATACAAAAATTATACTTAAAGAAAATAACAATTTTAATTTTTTTTTAAGTAAAAAAAATATTTCTGTATTAATTTTTGATTTTTTTAATAAAAAAACATGTGTATTTATCTTATAAGATTGGAAATTTATGGGGAACGGAAAAAATATCGATTTGAAATTTAAAAGCGTTAATATATTATAATCCATTAAGTCTTTTTTTTTTTTAATATTTTGAACAAAATACCACTTTGTTACTTCAAATAGAACACCCCATATATTTTTACATTTTTAAATTCTACATAAAATTCTGAGTAAAATTACTATACCATGTTCTATATACCTGAAGTAAATAGTTTTCGAGTTCCCTATACCTAAAGTTTATAAGTTTATAATTTCAGAGATATTTAACAATCGAAATGTTTTTTAATTTTCTATTTGATTATGTAAAAACATACCTACAGGGTGTTTCATTTAAAATAAAAAAGATATTAACGTTTTAAGTTAACCTAATTTGCCCTGGGTTTTCTTGGGTAATTTGTTAAAAAATGTTAAAGAATAGACATGGAATCTTTTAAAAAATGTTTTAAGATTCCAAAAATTCCACCCCCATTTCGGCAAACCTAATAGCAAAAAAGTTATAGGCTATTTTTGATTGACAAGCATTTCAAATTTTACGAAAAAAATTAATAACTCGAAAACTATTCAATTTGGGTATAGGACATTGTACAGTAATTTTACTCAAACACCCTGTATAACATTTTGGGATACTATTAATGGGTCCTGATATGATACTCCTTTGCTAACGTATATGCCATAATGAACTTTTTAACAATTGTTGGTAATACAGACATTTTAGGTAAGTTAAATTTTAATGTTATCCAAATTAAATATCTCGAAAACAAAATTTTACGTAGAATTCAAAAACGCAATAATATTTGTAGGGTTCCATTTGATAAACAAAATTACTATCTCTAATTTTCTGCGATTCATAAATAGTTAAATAGTTTATCAACGTGTTTAAACCTGCACAATAATATTTGTGTATGTTCACCCTGTTTAACTGTATTTTTAACCGTTTTTCGTTGCTGTTAAAATTATGAATGTACGGGCTTCGATGTGGTAAATAATATTACCTAGAAGTGACCTCTTTTAACCTAGATTGGCCGGTACACGACCATGGCATTGAAGACATTCCGTACTCGTTGCGTTTCCTTTGAATTCCTGCAAAGAAGTTATTTTTTTTTTAATCGATTTTGTACAAGGAAAATCCTTTTGTTTTTGAGTCACCTGTCACCTGCAACAAGCATTTTTTAACGATGTGCTATAGCTTGAAATCACACGATTAGGTATAAAACTGTCAGTATAGTAATTTTGTTGTTTTGAAAATATGTTTGATAACATTCACAACAGCATAATCAATTTGTTGTCGAGTTATCGAAATAATAACGACATATTTGCGGATTAAAGGCCAATATCTAAAGAAGAAGAAGAAGAAGACATATTTGTCGTTTCGATAGCATGTGAAAGGTTTTCGCACCGCACCCGGATGCCACTTGATTTTCTTGACGGCGTATTTATGTCAAGAGAAAGGCTTTCTTTAACAATCGTTTCATTCATGGCTTCTTTCACCGACCGAGCCGTAAAACAAACAATTTGCGGGCCGACCTCTCGATCCGTGCACCTTGGGGGGAAAGGTCGTTTCCCACCCCTCGTAGCAATTGTTGTTGTTGCACTGTCTTTGTTGCTCGCGTGTGTCAGTCGGTTTTGAATGTCGTGCACCTGATATTGTTCGGTTTTTTTTTTCGATTCTTCTCCACCCCCTTGATGATATGTTTGGTTTTCGCGTTGAGGTAGGCTTTAGGCTTTTGTTTGGCGTTCCATTGTTCCATCGTCTATTTTTTATGTGCAGCTTATGATGTAATCGTGATTTTTAAGTGTTTTTTTTTCCGAGAAACATTAAAATTGATGTGCACTTGAATAGTAATTAATATTCGTTTGCCATTAAATAGGATTAAATTTAACTATAATTTAATCTGTTTGTTCAGGAATTTTAATGGATTTACATACAAATAAATATATTATGATAATCATACAAATATAACTTGTTTTGATGGAAAAAGTATTGGATTGAAAAAATTGGCAATAATTTCATATTTTTATATAAAAGGAACTAATTTACCAAGTTTAGGGTGATATTCTTTAATTTTTTTACCTAAACATTGTGTAAACATTGAAAGTAAATATTAGGTTGGTATCATTCTTTTTTGAAAGATTAAAAATATAACCCTATTTTATATTTGAAGTTGACGATTCTATGCTTTTTCTTTTTCGTTTAATATGATACATGATAAAACACTTTTTTTCTACAAAATAATACAAAATTAACGCCATACAATTTTGGGGGCTGCGTTCCTCAATATATCTGTCAGTAGCATGCTAATTTTCTAAAAATAATATAAACATATTATGTATTCTTTATGTAGGTATACTGGTATTAATTTAAAACACAAAAATTCTTTTAAAAAATAAGACATAATTAGCGTTAAACTGACAGATAGATAACCTCAATTATTAGACTGCATTCCTTATTTAAAATTTAATGTTAAAGTGGGCTTTTTTGATCTAAAAATCTAAAAATTGTTCATTTTTATGTAGTGAAACTGTCAAAAATCATTGATACCAACCAACCTTAATTTGAGAGTTTTGTTGATGTTTGTAAAATGTAGGTTGGTAACATGTTTTTTTGACAGATAAATGTCATAACCCTATTTTGTGATAGTTTCTGATGATTTATTGTTTATTTAGATTGTTAAGTATACTAGTACCTATAGGTACTAGATACCGATACTAAACAATCTAAAAAAAATGTAAAGCTATTAAAAAATCTTTGTTATCAACCTTATTTAAATGATTTTTTGACAGTTAAATAACATTTTTTACATATGGCAATATAACTTAGGTTGGTAACACTTTTTTGACAGATAAATGTCATTTAGGCTTATAACCCTTTTTTAAAATTGTTAAGTAGGTACCAGATACCGATACTAAACAATAAAAAAAAAATGTAAAACTATTAATAAATCATTGTTATCAACCTTAATTAAATGATTTTTTGACAGTTAAATAACATTTCTTACATATGGCAATAAAAATTAGGTTGGTAACACTGTTTTTGACAGATAAATGTCATAACTCTATTTTGTGATAGATTCTGATGATTTATTCTTTTTTTAAATTGTTACCTATAGTAAATTTAAAAGTAAACTACGTACACGTCATCAATCAGCTGATCGGGCACGGTTGTCAATGTGATGCTAAAATCCTTGCATCAAGGGAAAGTGGTAGTGCAACTACAGGGCGATAGATGGCGTTTACATGAATAATATCCATATACTTACCAAGTAAGTATATGATAATATCCAAATACTTAAGTATATGTATAGTAAGTATATGATAATATCAAAATGTCAAAAGTCTGGGTTTTTATAACCTATATGATGCACCGCCAAAAGTATGTTTTTAGCCATTTTGAAGACATTTTCTGATATAAAACCCAAAAATTTTGCCATCTAAAGTCAGTCGACTGACATGAAATAATAATATATATACCAGAGATCTCTGGTATATATATTATTATTTCATGTATCCAACATATATTTTGTTAAATATTCTAATATATAATTAATAATAATCCTATTTACCTCTCTAACAGATGTTAAAGGTAACAAAGGTCCATTATTATCCCGTTCTGCCTCAAAATAGCGTATTAAGGATGACACCAACTCTTGACTTCGACTATTTAAATGCTTCCGCATTTTAAATATAGGAAACAAAACAACGATATATAACAAACACAAAAACGGCAATGAAAACTTAAACGATATAAAATAACACAAACAACAAACAAAATAAACGAAATAATACACGAATTAAACGAAATATTCAAAAACACAACTGACAGCTTCGAAATTCTAAAACGTCAAATTCTTTTTTATGTGTCATTTAAATATGAAAAATTTGAATGTAAACATGACAACATCACAATTGTTGCCAACTTAATTTGGTTAAAATGCATTCAAATATTCAATTACAGACTTCGATTTAGTCATTTAGTGTTGGTACCAATGCGTAAAATTTTTGTTTTATTGATGACGTGTACGTAGTTTACTTTTAAATTTACTATATGTAGGTTTTGACAGAAAAATTACATTTTATGATCGATTTTGACGTTTTTGTTCTTTTCTTTCAAGTAGGTTGGTAACTAAATAATCTAAAAAAAAATTAAAACTAAAAAAATCATAATCACCCTTAATTAAATGATTTTTTGACAGTTAAATAACATTTCTTACATATGGCAGTAAAAATTACACTGTTTTGAAAGAAAAATGACATTTTATTATCGATTTTGACGTTTTTGTTCTTTTCTTTAAATTAGGTTGGTAACAGAATCTGTATCTGATACCGATACTAAACAATCTAAAAAAATGTTGAACTATTAAAAAATCATTATCAACCTTAATTAAATGATCTTTTGACAGTTAAATAACATTTCTTACGTATGGCCGTAAAAATTAGGTTGGTAACACTGTTTTTGACAGATAAATGACGTTTTATGCTCGATTTTGACGTTTTTCTTTTTTTTTTTCTTGAAGGGTGGTAACGGGGGAGTCGTCAGCCAGCGAGGGGGCGGCGGCGGTGGACAGTCGTCGTACGCCACCGGCGGCGGAGGAGCGGGCGGAGGCCTGGTGAAGGCAGGAGGCGGCTCGGGAACGGCGGCGTCTCTGACGATGGCGACGCAGCATCAAACGTCGGGCGGCTACCGCGGCTGGAACTCGGTGGGCGCTGGACACCAGCACCCGGCGGCGGCCGCGGTGGCGGCTGCCGCGGCGGCGGCGGCCACTCAACCGCCCCCCGCGCAAACCAACTACTACAGGTACTCGCAGGTGGCGCAGAACGGACCGCAACCCCTCAACACCTACGCATACAACTCGAACTCGGTAAGTCAAGTAGACTGAGACATAACCTCAACTATTTTACTTCATTCCTTATTCAAATGTCAAAGTTCCGAGGGGTCAACCACCCAAAGGGAAAACGTCCAGGGATTCCCATGTATTCCCATTATATTTTATTGTATTCCTATGTATTTCCATTGTATTCCTATGGTATTCCCCCTCTAAAATGTCCAGGGATTCCCAGGTGTGGGTGACCCCTCGCAAAGTTCCAAGGTCATATGTTTTGCAATTTTTTTTTATTTCTTTTAAAACAAAAGGTTTAAATTAGTTATAAACCGAATTAGATTATATAGATTCAAAATTATTTCCTGTTTATTGATTGTTTATGTAATTTCGTAGAATCACTGATAAGATTGTTCTTTTTATTATTCCATAGAGTGGGTACATGCAATATTTTTTATCTTATCAATTTTTTTTTTAATATGTTACATTTACTTTAGATTTTGCTCAAGTCGGTTTAGCTTTAAAGTGCTCTAGTGACAAGTTTATTTCTTTAGGGTACAGAGTTTTTTTTGGTAAATTTTTCGACAGTGTTAGTGATTTTTTAAGTAAGGATTGCAATGTATTTTTGTATTGTTTGAATTATTTATAAATTATGTAATGATGATAATAGTACTAAAGATAATACGTAAAATGTACGATATTTGACTTTTGTTCGGTACAGATTTTTTTATTAGATAAAAACAAAAAACCTACAAAATATGGTCTCAAGTATTTTTCGAGATATCATAACAAATGTCTAGGGACAGCAGAATACACGTCTTTGTCCTATTTTCGTAGTACTTGATAACAAAAAAACTAATAAACTTTGAGACTTTAAATTTGATATACCTTTTTTAAAATGTTTTATTAAAATTGTGTCAAAATCTCAAATCATTATCTTAAGTAGTTTTTGAGATATCGTAACAAACGTCAAGGGCCGGGACGGAATAATAAAGTTTTTTGTACCATGTTACCTATACAGTTGCATAGCAGAAAAACTAATATAGTCTGAAACTGCATATTTGGTATAAACTTTTTTAAATGGTTTATGGACATTGGGTAAAAATCTCAAATCATTATCTTAAGTGGTTTTTAAGATATCGTAACAAACGTCAAGGGGCGGTACGCAATAATAAACTTCTTTACAGTTGCATAACAAAAAGACTAATAAACTTTAAAGGTTCAAATTTGTTGTACGTTCTTAAAAATGTTTTATTAATATAGTGTCAAAATCTCAAATCGTTATCTTGGGTAGTTTTCGAGATATCGTGATAAACGTCTTGGGGGCGGCATTTTCACCGTTTCCTCTCGCTTGCAGTACTCCAACCCCAGGGAGGCGGCGACCGCCACCTCGCCATCCAACGAGTCGAACGCGTCGAGCTCGAACGCCGGCAGCCAGTCGCAGCAGAGCGGCGGCTCGGGGGCGGCGGGCGGCGCCCAGAACGGCGGCGTGCCGATATCGTCGGCGGCCGCGGCGGCGGCTCAGCAGGCCGCGATGGCGAACAGCCAGGCCAACGGCGGCGGCGCCTCCTCGAACGCGTCGTCGGCGGCGGGACTGGGCGGCGGTTCCGAGCAGCTCAGCAAGACGAACTTGTACATCAGGGGGCTGAATCCCACCACCACCGACAAGGATCTCGTCAACATGTGTCAGGCGTAAGTTTTTAGAAAAGTTGCAGTTACCTTGACGTTTATATGACGTTTAAATGACGTTAGCAACGTCATTTAAACGTCATATAAACGTCAGCAGACGTCAGTGTGCTGACGTTTATATGACGTCTTCTAACATTTAAATGACGTTAGCAACGTCATTTCAACGTCATATAAACGTCAGCAGACGTCAGTGTGCTACCTGGGAAGGTGCCTAGTGAAAAAGGTTGGCCAAATAACACTTTTTTCTTTAATTTTAGATATGGAAACATCATTTCGACAAAGGCAATCTTAGATAAGAACACTAACAAATGTAAAGGTAAGTCGTGTATTTTAAAGTTGTTAAATACTGTGTAAAAAATACATTTATCGGTGAAAATAACGTTTTGTTTTATTATTAAGTCATTTGCTTTTTGCTAACAATTTTTATCGAACGAAATTCTTGCGAAACAAACATTTTTGTAATTACGTTAACATTTTTATGAATCATACGAACGTTAAAAAAATAATTTTAATGGTTATAACAGCATTTTTACACATTCCATTGATTGTATGGTTTAACTTTAATTTAATTGAAATATTTTAAATATTTCTGCTAGGTTTTCAATTTATTATGCCAAAAAAATGTTAAAATTACTTAAATTAGGTTTTTTTAAAATTATATAACCCCTTGATCTTGAAGACCAAGGTACCTAGCAGGAAAGTTTGTCTTGTTTCCAAAAACGTCGATTTTTGCTTAGTTTGACATTCAAGGTTGGCAACAATGATACTAATCCACTAAAAACTCAAATATCATTGTTTTTTTTAATACACTCACAGGCAAAATAATCGATCCACACAAATTTTCGATGCATTTTAATCGCAAATAACTTTTTTTTTTGATTTCGGATTTAAACAAATTGTAAAGAATATTGTAGATACATTAATGGAGAATCGCTCACATTTTAAAAATTACTAAAAAATAGACGTACGTTTATAATATACAGGTTTAATCAAAAATATGTTTTTTACCATAAGTTTAAGACACTCTGTAGTGGCAAAACCGTATATTGTTCTAAATTAAGTTTTAATTATCAAGTCACATATATTTTTAACAGTTTTGTTTTTGGTTCACCTTGATATATTTATTTTTGTGGAAAGTATGGATTTTTTTTTAAAACATTGCAATTTCCAATATTTTTATATGAAGAACTAAGGTTGCTATGGTCCATCCATAGGCTATGGAGGATGACAGTGACAGTTTTGTTGAATCATCCCATACTTGGACATATCATATACAGCTTTTAAAAGCTATCAAATTGTTTTTTGTAAATTAATGTGTTAATTTTGAGGTGTTTTCTTACTTTTAAAAATGTCTCCGACTGATGTTGTCCTTTGTACTTTACTTCTTGTGGGGTTTAAAACACTTGCCACGTAATACTGTGACCGTCCATCCTGGATTAAATTAATGGCTCTGGCAACATCAGTCAGAGACATATCCATTTTTTAAAGTGAGGAGACACCTCAAAATATAAACATTAATTTGCAAAAAACAAAACGTGTATGACATGTCCAAGTATGGGATGATTCAACAAAACTGTCACTGTCATTCTCCATAGCATATGGATGGACCATAGCAACCTTAGTTATTCATACAGAAAAATATTGAAATGTTTTTTTAAAAAATCCGTATTTTCCACAAAAATAAATATATCGAGGTGAACCAAAAACAAAGCTGTTAAGAATAGATGTGACTTGATAAATAAAACTTAATTTAGAACAATATACGGTTTTGCCACTCTACAGAGTGTCTTAAATTTATGGTAAAAAACATATTTTTGTTTAAACCTGTATATTATAAACGTACGTCTATTTTTTAGTATTTTTTTAAAATGTGAGCGATTGTCCATTAATTTATCTACAATATTCTTTAATATTCGACATCAAATAAAAAAGTTATTTGCGATTGAAATTCATCGAAAATTTGTGTGGATCGATTATTTTGCCTGTGAAGACCAAGGTACCTAGAAGGAAAGGTTGTCTTGTTTCCAAAGGCGTCTATTTTTGGCTTAGTTTGACAGTCAAGGTTGGCAACACTGTTTTGCTTTAAAATCCTCAATTTTTATCGGATTTTGATCGTTTTTTTTCAAAATTAACGATTTTTTTTGTTTTTTTTTAGGGTATGGTTTCGTGGATTTCGAGAACCCAGCAGCGGCCGAATCGGCCGTTAAGGCGTTAACCGCAAAGAATGTGCAGGCACAAATGGCGAAAGTGGGTATCTGGGTACACCGTAGAACAGCCACTGTACGTTTGCATGCAAGTAATACCTAGCTTAATTAATCATAATTAATAATATTAATTAATAACCTCTTCTATCTCTATTTTTTTAACATTTTTTTTTTTGAAATTTATTCTATCCCTCTAAATTCCCACCGCTCTGCCACAGTGCGCCGGTGGCGTTCCCAGGTAGAAAATTAGCGGGAACAGTGTTGTTCTAAGGTTAAAAATAAGTTACATTAAGTTTTAAAATACCTATAATATAATATACTAAAAAATGCATGGTAATTACTAAAATAATAGTGCACAAAATTAACAAAATAATTGGTAAAAACTGTACATAAATACACTGTGGCAGAGAACTGTTTTTATTTTTACGTAGAAAACCAAAAAAAAATACAATTTTTGGCTTAGTTTTGCCTTTTCTTCTCTAATAATACTGTAATGAAAATGCATGACCTATTTTATTTTATTAATTATTAATTAATAATAATAAGAATGACATCTTAAACCCTGTTATATCACCTTCACTTTTGGAAACAATTCAACAAATGTCGACTCGATATTTTTCGGAGAGTGAACGTAATATACATCATTGTTTATTATTTTAATCATGTATAATTTTTTTAAAATGCACTGCAGATAATAATTAAAAACGCAAATATTTAGTTTAAATGCATGTGCTCATTATGATTTAACTATTTACATCATAGTAAACAAGGCCGAAATACAGGGTGGCCCAAAGTAATCATTAACGTTATGGTTTAAATGATTTATTAAGATAGAGCTTGGTATCTTAAAGGGCAAGGTGTCTTAATTACGGAAATGTTGATTTTTGGCTCAATTTGACAGTCAAGGTTGGCAACAATGATTTCAATCCACAAAACTAAAAAAAAAATCTTTTTTTAATCCTTATTTTCGTCGAATATTCATCGTTTTTTTGAACATTAAAAAAAATGTTGTATTCGTTAATATTTCGGCAATCCAATGTTCAATTGTTTTTTTTTTATTATCATGTTAATTAGAAAAAAAGAGAAAAGTCATTATTGATAAAAAAGTTTTTACCCTCGAAAAAATAACTGACATAAAAAATTGTGATTTTATCTACAAGGTGTAAAAATACATGAAATTGATATTTATTAGTAATTTTTTGAAAATTTTTAAAAGAAAAAGTTCTGTGTAATAAAAAACGAAGTCAAAATGCAAAAATTACGACAAAAATTATACAGCTCATTTTTTGAAAAAAGGTCATTGATTGTCAAAAAAAATAACACGAAATAAGACGAAATTGACAAATAGATAACCTCAATTATTTGTACTCAGATGTCAAAGTGAAATTTTTGGGTGTGCCTTGAAGATCAAGGCACCTAGCAGGAAAGGTTAAATAAGTTCGCTGAATTAGTAGGTTTTTAAAAATAAGACAACGTTTTCAAGAATGATTTTTGGTTAAATTATGATTTTAATCCACAAAAATAAACACTGTTTTTTTAAGTTATAAAGCATTCAAACCATAATGTTGATTTTGCGCCACCCTGTATAATGATTAAAATGCATGGCATTAAAAATGGTAAAGCCACTAAATATATTAATTAATTAATTATTAAAAAAAGCATTTTGTACATGAATTATTTTTATTAACTTATGGCGTACAGTGCTGGATTTTTGTATTGAATAATTGACCTTTCATCTTGAATCGCCTGTATCTTGAAAACTAGCAGTTATTTTAAAGTGTGAGAATTGTAAAAAAAATAGTTTTCAAGGTATAAACAATTGAAAATGTTGGTGAATCCAAAAAACTTAACGACTAACCTTAAAATATTCCGCATTTATTATGTTTATTTTATCATATATAGGAGTATACTTTGAACGAATCATTTTTTTTTTCATCGACTTGGTCGGCCAAAATTGTGACGTAATCTCCTATTTTAGCAACAAGAACAGGACCCCACCAATTTGTACATAGCCAACTTGCCGCCTAACTTCAAAGAGGCAGATTTGGACAATATGCTGTCCAAATACGGACAAGTCATATCGACCAGGATCCTGCGCGACACAGCTGGTTAGTAATTTTTTTTTTTTAATTTATGAAAAGTGTAGAAATCGGACTTTTTTGTTGTCGAGACGACCTTTTTTGCTTTGTACCTTGGTGGTCAAGGTACCTAGTTTAATCACGGCTCCCCGGAAAGGGGGGACTACCACAAAGTTTGGTCACTGAAAATTTTTCGACGGGGTTTCGTTCGTTATTGTATTCTGAGACGGAAAACACCGAAAAGTAAATCGAAGCAACTCCTTTTTTTAATTTTACGAGAAAAATGCATTTTTGCCCTATATTTATTTTTTTTTTAAATACTCGGGTACAGAATTATATATTAATCATTTATTTATTTATTTAAAACATACATAATATGTGTATTATACTAAACATAATACTATTTTATTAATAATATGGGATACAATCCTATACTTATAATTCAAAATTCATTTTTCAAATTTTATAAAAATTTACAACTTGAGTTTTTATCAAAAGGAATACTTTTTAAATTATAAAAAAATTATTAGGATAAAACATAATTTCTTCACATTGAATTTAAATATGTGTACTATTATATCGACAAATGACACTTAATATTCTATTATCAAACTCAGCATGACTCTCAGACACTTAAAAAAAGCGCATACTTTTAGAAAATCATAATGAACTGACTCAAAAGCCTGCTCGCTGTAAAATCTGAGACTTTTTTATGTTTTGCGCTAAAATCTTTTACGTGATAAAATGTTGCATTAAAAGATGCACCTCCATGCCGCAAACATTGCATGCTTTAACCTATTTTAAAGCATCTTCATTGCATTCCTTCATCATATGACTCACAATGTGATTTACTACGCCTAACATCAAATGTAGTTCAGGTGGCGTCAAAATGTCATTTATGGCATGTTCTTCTGATCCCGAAACTATTGCAGGATTTATACAACTAAAATATTCTTTTGCATCTTTCTTATTTGAATCCGCCTTATACCATTCTAAATAATTTGTGTCAAATATGCTGAAGTTTTACAAAATTTTGAAAAAGTTGTAAAGGACTGTTTTGGAAATGAACTTGCAGAAAGTTTCGAAGATAGTATAAATCATTTTAAAACTTGTTACTTAAAATTGAACTTACCTGTAACACCAAAAGTACATGCAACATTTTATCAGGTAAAAGATTTTTGCGCAAAACATAAAAAAGTCTCGGATTTTACAGCGAGCAGGCTTTTGAGTCAGTTAATTATGATTTTCTAAAAGTATGGGCTTTTTTTAAAGTGTCTGAGAGTCATGCTGAGTTTGATAATAGAATATTAAGTGCCATTTGTCGATATAATAGTACACATATTTAAAGTCAATGTGAAGAAATTATGTTTTATCTTAATAAAATGTTTATAATTTAAAAAGTATTCCTTTTGATAAAAAATCAAGTTGTTAATTTTTATAAAATTTGAAAAAGGAATTTTGAATTATAAGTATAGGATTGTATCCCATGTTATTATTAAAATAGTATTATGTTTAGTATAATACACATATTATGTATGTTTTAAATAAATAAATAAATGATTAATATATAATTATGTACCCAAATATTTTTTTAATAAATAAATTTAGGGCAAAAATGCATTTTTCTCGTAAAATTCAAAAAAGGAGTTGCTTCGATTTACTTTTCGGTGTTTTCCGTCTCAGAATACAATAACGAACGAAACCCCGTTGAAAAATTTTCAGTGACCAAACTTTGTGGTAGTCCCCCCTGTCCGGGGCGCCGTGAGGTGGTTTAAAATGTTTATATTTTTTTTATAAAATTTAGTTTTTTTAAACTAAACTTTTTTGGTGGTTTTTCCTTGTTTTAAAGTTTTAGGTTTTTGTTTTTATGCCTTAAAAAGTATATAGGAGAAGTTCAATAATGTCAAAATTTTTTAAAGAGAATATTGAGAATAAAGCCGGAAAATTTTTTAAACTGACAAATAGATAACCTCAATTATTTGTTTGTGAAACTTTTGGGTGTGCCTTGAAGATCAAGGCACCTAGCAGGAAAGGTTGGCAACAATGATTTCAATCTACAAAAATCCCGAATAGTTGGCAATACCGTTTTTTCAAACGCCGACAACTGCATTTTAAACAACAAAATATACCTACGAATTTATGGCAACATAATATTATATATAAATACATAATATTTACATAGTATTTTACCGTTGAGTGGAGACTTTCTTAATCAACGCTTTTATTAATGCTAAGTGCTGTTTAAATTTAGACGACTTATTTGGATGACGATTATTACTGAATTGAAATGTTTACACTTTTCACGTTAATCACTACTAAAATGTGTATTTATTGTATGTAATAGGTACAATTTATATTTACAGAGACTGTATGCAACTTATTTCTTTATTCAGATTAACACTGTTTATTGGAAAACCGGTAAAAACTCAACCCAGGATTTCCTCTCGAAATATACCCAACAACACAACAAATCGAGTCACGATTTTTTTCCGATATTTTTTAACATTTTCCGGCTTTATTCTCAAAAACACTTGTTTGACAGCTGATTATTAAATTTTACGATGATAACAGGGTTATTTTTAGAATAAGAAGCTTACTTGTAAATTAAAACTGGGGGTGGTAGTAATAAAAAAACAAAATTTCATCAAAATAATTTTATTTAATAAAAAAAAACAACTACAACTATTACAAGCTTTAAAAATGATATTTTTCAGCTACCAATGGCAGTTTTTTAAAACAATTTCGGCCGTTTTGCTACCAAAAACACTTGGTATATTACAAAGGCCCCCATATCACAGCAATTTTACTTAATATTGCGTTAATTTTTTTAATATTTGAGATCCTTTAATACTTTGGCATCTAGAATATAAGGTGTGACCTTCAAATTTTTGGGGATTGTTAAGTGAGGTTATGTTAACGATCTGTCAAAATTTCAAGGTCACAGCTGTCATAGTTTTCGCGTTGGACTGTACTTTGCACAGCAACACAAAAACCTTAATTGCTTTGAAATTATCGCAGATAAACTGATCAAACTTATAGAGAGTATGAAGTAACAAATTTTACTATTAATAATTATGACCCCCAAGCCAGGTATTGGTAAAAGAAACACAATAATATTTGAACAGGTCCTTGACGATTTTTTAGGTTAAATAATTAATTAATAAAATAAATAAATCCTTTGTTTATCACATTAATTCCTGTAATAACTAAAATAACTGGACTATTACCTAACAAAAAAATATGTTCCCAATAGGTATTAATATAAAAATACCTGCAATTTTTTTAAATACTGACTGAATCCAGGCCTAATAACAGCTACCAATAACACAAAACTAATAGTTCTTAACATTTTTATCACTTAAATCACTTATATCACCACTATTTTAACTGTTCTTTGCGAATATTTGAATCATAATGAGATTTTGACGTTTTAACATAACCCTATTTGTTGCTTGTTGACGTAGTTCAACGCCTACTCACTGCACAAAGTGATGCGCGCGAGATTTAAATGCAGGGGCGGATTTCGTGATTTTAAATTTTTTTGATTAAATTAAGGAAACATTAACAAATACCTATATGTATGTAAAAATAAAATTCTGTTAAATAATTAATTGCGTGTGGCGCTACTAGCGATACTTGTTTAGCGTACAATCTTCAACTTTTCTTTGTAGGCTTCTCGAAAGGCGTGGGCTTCGCGCGCATGGAGAGCAAGGAGCGGTGCGAGCACATCATCCACACGATGAACGGCAGCCACTGCCCGGGCAGCAAGGACCCTCTCCTCGTCAAGTTCGCCGACGGCGGCAACAAGAAGAAGATCTACAAGAACAACGACAACGCCAAGATGTGGCGGCAGGACGACGCGATGGCGGTGACGTACGATCCGAACGTGCTCACGTCGAACGGCGTCTCCCCCCAGCACATGATGCTGCAGCAGTTCAGGGGCTACAACCCGCAGGTGAGTTAATCCCTGCTCCACTCGGCACCTTGGCTTTGTCGGGGTGTCTAAAGTCTATTCAAATCCAAGCTGGACTAAATGTAAACGCAATCCTCCGAATCGACCAATAAGAGCTCACAATCCGAGTCACACCATCAGAAACGAGTTATCAAGCGTCTGGGCGTTTTTGTTTAGTCCAGCTTGGATTTGAATAGACTTTAGCGATAGAGGTCGTCTCGTTTTCTGAACGTCAGTTTTTAGGTTTGTGCTCGATAAAAACATAAAAACAAACATTCCGAATAACGCAAAACTTACCAAAAACGTTTTAAAATCATTTCCAGACTACCTTTTTTATTTTTACACCTTGTTTAAGGAAGTTAAAAATACGCTAAAGCGTTAAAAACAAATTAAAACACAACCTCAATATTCTTCCAACTTTTTATAGCAAAAAACTGACAAATTAAATACAAGGTGGCGCAGTAATAAATATTTTATTAGTTGTTATAACACTATTTATTAATAAAACATTTTAAATCAATTTTATAATTTTATATCACAAAAAGTCACCAAAAACCTTTCAAAATCATCAATTTTAAGGAAATCTAGAGCCTTAAATATAAATTTTTGTGATTTTATTTCCAGACGACCTTTTTTATTAGGCTCCTTGTTCAAAGAAGTAAAAAAAATACGCAAAAACGTTAAAAAACAAATTAAAACAAAACCTAAATATTCTTTAAACTTTTTATAGCAAAAAAACTGACAAATTGTATACAGGGTGTCCCGAAAATGGTGCAGTAATATAATGTTAATTTGAGTACAAAAAAAATAAAAATTAAAAACGAGTTTTTACTTGAAAGGATTTTATTTTATTAGTTGTTATAGGACTATTTATTTATAAAACATTTTAAATCAATTTTATAATATTTTAACACAAAAAGTTACCAAAAACGTTTCAAAATCATCAATTTTATGAAAATCTAGAGCCTTAAATATAAATTTTTGTGGTTTTATTTCCAGACTACCTTTTTTACTAGGCACCTTTTTTAAAGAAGTAAAAAATTAAGCAAAAACGTTAAAAACAAATTAAAACAAAACCTCAATATTTTTCCAACTTTTTATAGCAAAAAAACTGACAAATTGTATACAGGGTATCCCGAAAATGGTGCAGTAATAAATAGTCGCCTTTTAACAAACTTAAATTTGTTTTGTTTATTTTTCTTAGGTATTCCAGTATCCGTACGGTTACATGATCCAGCAGCCGTTGCAAATGGACGAAAGTTACAGCATACCCGGCCACATAACGCCCTACAAAAACGACGGCCAACCACCGAGAGCCATTCCTTACGTCATGCCGAACGCCGAGCCCGTTCAGTACCCACCCAATATGATGCACCAGGTAAATATCTTCTTCGAACGCGAGAAATTTTAAAATTTTTTGGAAATATTCACTTTTTTTATCGTTTTCTACTCGTTTTGACATATTGGATTGATTTATTTTCATCTCTCTTACTTAGAGATGTAAAAAACGGTTTTTTTCAGAAAGTGAAAACTTTATTTTTGTTTTTTTTTAAATTCTACATTGGTCTTTCCATCTCAAATCAGTTTTTTTAGTTTTTTTTACCGAAATCTTAAACACCCTTATTTTTTCTTTTTGCTTAAATTTCTTTTGTTCACCCGTAGGGAATATTTGAAAAATGGACAAACATCGATTTTTCTCTTTTTCTTGAAAATGCGATAATTTGGCCAAAAATGTTGCGATCGTTACAATTTTTTTTTTCAATTTTAGGTTAATGTTTACTACAAACAAAAAAAATATATTTTTTTTACTGTTTTTTCTACAAAAGGCAAAAAAAATGTGGTCAAAATTTTGACAATGCCACATTTTTTTTTCCTTTATATTTTTTTCGTTTGAACTTGATAATATCGTCGTTTCGAAATTATTAGTTTTTTTAATAAAAATGCCATTTTCTAGTAAATTCATGGTCCATCGAAAAAATTTGGTATTTTATTTTATTACTGCCAAATTTAATTTGTTTTTATTGCTAAAGGCCAAAACTATGCGTGATTGTATTTAAAAAATACGGTGAAAAAAACATGTTTTTTAACGTTACATATCCACATCTATGTAGATTTGTATTTGAAGTCATCAAAATGTATTTATTATTAATATTTTGATTTAACCTTTAAATATTTTACAAATTTTAATTGTTTTTTAATTTTACATGTAATTTTTTGTCAAGGTTATTATAAATATTAATTTTAGAGATTCGACCTTTTTGTGGAAAAACTAAATTTCCCACAAAAAATGTATTTACTTTACTGCTAAATTCTGTTTTTATAAAAAAAATAGTAGAATATTTATTATATAATATTTTGGCATCAAAATTATCAAAAATATTCCTCTTTTATTAGGTTATACATTAAATAAAAACAACGCAAGATATATTTTATAAAAGTAGAGATAATTTTCGTAATTGAAAAAAAAGATTTATCTTGTCCTATCCACACCTGTCAAATATTAAAATTATCTTTACTTTTATAAAATATTTCTTGCGATTTTTTTTATTTAATGTATAGCCTAATAAAAGAAGAATATATTTGACAATTTTTATGCAAAAATAATATATAATTCCCTACAATTTTTTTATAAAAACAGGTTTTTTTTTCGTTTTTTTTTAATTCTACATGTAATTTTTTGTCAATTAAACGACAAAATAATAATAAATCTTATTATAAATATTAATTTTAGAAATCCGACCTTTTTGTGAAATACCAAATTTCCTACAAACAATTCATTACTTTAAATTATATTTTACTGCTAAATTAAATTTATTTTTATTGCTAAAAAGTGGCCAAAAGGCCAAAAATTGCAAACTTTTGTGTTGTTTTTTTCACGTTACATCTCTGCAGATTTGTATTTGAGGTCTTCAAAATGTATTTATTATTATTATTTTGATTAAACCTTTTAATTGTTTTTTTTCGTTTTCTTTTAATTCGACAAAATAATAATAAATCTTATTTTAAATATTAATTTTAGAGATTCGACCTTTTTATGAAAAAAAAAATTCATTACTTTAAATTATATTTATATAATAATATATAATTTATATATAAATAATAAAATGTGAAAAAATACGGTGAAAAAAAACGCATATTTTTTTCAGTTGACCGCCCAATTGGGCACGATGTCTCTGAACAGCCAATACATGAATCCAGGGCCGTACCAGTACTACCCGGTTGTGCACGCCGTCCCTGTAGACTCCGAGCACACGTCTAACGCGGGAAGCCCCGACGACCCGTACCAATCTTACCAGGGCGGACCGCAGCAGAAGTAAACGAAAAAAAAAAATAAACCAGAAAATCCCCTAAAAATGTGCGACGACTGAGTGTGGTTGGAAACTCTTTTTCTGAGCGTGTCTTATTTAAAAAAAAATCCTAGAGGTTAGTTTATTTATACACACTGACTTTATTGATTAATTAAGTGTAATTTTTTTTCTTTGTTTTTCCTGAGTTTTGTTGATGGTTTTTGTAACGCGGTTACAAAGTCTGAAAATATTGTGTAAAAAGTAGGTATTTTTGATACAACATGTTCCTAGTTTCGACATAACTAACAAAAAATAACATGGTTATTTTTCTGTTGTTAATTTAACACGAAAACATTGTATTGAAAATATTAACGGCGCGACCAATTAAAAAAAAACAACAAAAATCCGCAGTGTAAATACTACTAAACAAAAAAAAATGGTGAAAACGCGTCTACCAACCGTTAGGCATAAAAAAACTAGGTTAGACTTTGGTTAGTTTAGCTAGCTTATTTATAAAGAATAGACGGCCAAAAAAATCAACAATTTTTTTTTAAGTATATAAAAAATAGGGTTTGGGGTGCCAAAAAAAAATATTGTGAAAGTTTGAGTCCATAATATTAATATTAAGAGGTATATCATCGCAATTTTATTTTTTTTCCTCAGCAAGTTTTAGGCTCAGAACTCCCAAACCATTGAGTTTAACAAAATTGACTTGAAAATATTTTTTTAAGAAAATTAAATGCTCTACAAAAAAGGTTAAAGTGAAATTTTCCGTCAGATGAACCGTTTCCTTAAAATCATGCCTTAAAAATTGGTATAGTTTTACATTTTGATCTTTTAAATTGGAATTTTGTAATTCATGTAAAAATCAGTACCCATAAAAACCGATAAATATTCTTATGAAAAACCAAATGCTTTACAAAAAAAGCCTCTTAACATTTTTGGCTAAATTCACTCAATCAAAAGTTATTCAAGGTTAAAATTTCGTTTTGACTTCAAATTTAACCTTGAATAACTTTTGATGGAGTGAATTTAGCCAAAAATGATTTTTGTAGAGCATTTGATTTCCCATAAGAATATCTATCGTTTTTTTTTCAGGCTGCTGATTTTTATTGAATTACAAAATTCCAAAGTTAAAAGATCAAATTGTAAGGCTATACCAATTTTTAAGGCATGATTGTAAGAAAACGGTTCATCTGACGGGAAATTCCAATCAAACCTTTTTTGTAGAGCATTAAATTTTCTTCAAAAAATATTCTTTGATCAATTTTGTTAAACTCAATGATTTGGGAGTTCTGAGACAAAAACTCGCTCATGAAAAAAAATCTAAAATTGCGATGATAGACCTCTTAATATTAATATTATGGACTCAAACTTTCACCGTAATTTTTTTTTGTCATCCCAAACAATACTTTCGATATACTTTCCAAAAAAAAAAAAGTCGATTTTTTTGGCCCGGTCTAGTAAAGAATATCGGGCGAAACTGACTGGTCGGATCGAAAGTATTTTTTCGACCGTCGCTTGACTTAAACATTAAAATGACGAGATTGACGATCTTCCCACGAAATGTCGACGATACGGCGCGGCATTTTGCATTAGCATAGTGAAAATTTTTATTTTTCGAAGATCTATATAGGTAGTTGTTGAAAAACTGCTCATTGATGAAAAAATCAAACTGAATTCTTCCTAACTTATGAAACTATAAAATAACATCTAATATACAAAAAAAAATACTTCCAAATGTTGTCGAAAGATTTTTTCCGCCTTTTTATATACAACTGTAGAGTTTTTATTTATTTTAAGTGCGCTCTGAACGAACCGCAATTCGTTTGTTTTCGGCGCACACTTGTATTATAATATTTAACAAAACAAAACCATCCCCAAAACAGCCCCATAACCTAAGATTCCAACTAAATTTTGACGGATGCAAGTGACGTCACAACATGGCGGCTGTTCGGGGGAGATATCAGAGAAACGACATTCCAGAATGTCCTATATTTATATTTATTTAAAAGAAGAAATTATTTTGTCAAATTTACCGCGATTTTGTACAGTCTTTATTAGACTGGGCCAAAAAAATCATTTTTTTTTAAGTATATCGAGAATATGGTTTGGGGTGACAAAAAAAAATATTGAGTCCATAATATTAATATCTATCATAGCAATTTTATTTTTTTTTTCCTCAGCAAGTTTTTGTCTCAGAACTCCCAAACCATTGAGTTTAACAAAATTGGCTCGAAAATATTTTTTAAGAAAATTAAATGCTCTACAAAAAAGGTTAAAGTAAAATTTTCCGTCAGATGAACCGTTTCCTTAAAATCATGCCTTAAAATTTGGTATAGTTTTACATTTTGATCTTTTAAATTGGAATTTTGTAATTCATGTAAAAATCAGTACCCATAAAAAACCGATAAATATTCTTATGGGAAATCAAATGCTTTACAAAAAAAGCCTTTCAACATTTTTGGCTAAATTCACTCAATCAAAAGTTATTCAAGGTTAAAATTCAAATTTAACTTGAATTTAGCCAAAAATGATTTTTTGTAGAGCATTGATTTCCCATAAGAATATTTATCGGTTTTTTTCAGGGTACTGATTTTTACATGAATTACAAAATTCCAAAGTTAAAAGATCAAATTGTAAAACTATACCAATTTTTAAGGCATGATTTTAAGGAAACGGTTCATCTGACGGGAAATTTTACTTTAACCTTTTTTGTAGAGCATTCAATTTTCTTCAAAAAATATTCTCAAGTCAATTTTGTTAAACTCAATGATTTGAGAGTTCTAGGACAAAATCTAAAATTGCGATGATAGACCTCTAAATATTAATATTATGGACTCACCATAATTTTTTTTGTCGCCCCAAACAATATTTTCAATATACTTAGTCGATTTTTTTGGCCCAGTCTAGTCTTTATATTATATGTTATAGTGCAATTTTGTTTTTATTATACATATTATACATATATAATTTTATTTAATCGACATGAATAACAAGAAACGTTGCTTTTTTATTGTTTTTGTGAATAGATTGGAAATTTAAAAAAAACGGACTGATTTCGATGATGAGGGGGCTTTCCAAGGCCGATAGTGCAGGGGCGGATCTGTGATTTCATTTTTTCATTGTATATTGTTGTCGAGCCCGCGTATCAGTTTTGGAAAGCTGTGCGGAAAAATAGGCTGCCCGGAAACTAAAACACGACTTTAAGACGCAAAGAGTGATTTCGGGTTGTTATGGCTTACGAGGCGTAGAGGTGCCGTAATTAAAAAAAAAATGCTGCTATTTATTTTGGCATTGGTATTGTTGGTAATTTGTTGCGTATTTTCGAGAGTTTACGAGTGAAAAAAGCGTCTCGAAGTCGTTTTTTGTTTTCGTCCGGGCGTACGATTGTGGTCTATGATTAAGAAAAATGTAACTGTGCCTTTCAGGATAGTCCAATAACAGGGATTTACTGAAAAAGAATATATTTTTTTAATAATCGATTTCGATTAAAATAAAATACTACAAATTTTTAAAAAACTTCGTATATGTTGTAGCGTTTGTATGTTTTTACGTTTTGCGGCGGTAAAAACGTTTGCAAAATATTTTTATCGTCGCCCAAATAGCGAGGGGGCCAGGGTATACCACTAATAACAAGATTTACACGTGAAATTCTGCTATTGCATTAAAATTTCGCGATCACCTCCCTCCAAAATTTTCGTGTGTAGGTAAGCTACAAGAGTAAAACAAAAATGTTTCTCAACATTGTTGTTTTACTATATATAAATGTTTTTTGGGAATTTTACTGTACGATTTCTAAAACAAACACCGCAATCGCTTTAATCGCACCTAAATAAACATAAAAACGACTAAATAAAATGTTTAACATATAAACGTTAGATTGTAGACAATAACCTACGACATTATTGTTTTTTTGTCACGAAATTTTTACATATCACTTTAATTTATTATCGACCTTTTGTTGCTTTTACCCCCACTATTTAGTGGTAGCTCCCTCTCTTGTTTGGAGGGGTAAATTTATTATTTATTATTGTTATAATATTTTGAAAGTTTATTTCTGTTGAATGAATCGTATATTTTTTTAAAAACTGACGGCTTTAAAAACGACTGATAGTAGTTTTTAACATACCTATTTAAAGTAAATGTGTCTAGATGAAATATTATTATTATTATTATTATTAAAAAAATATATAGTACTTATGCGTGTGTAAACAACTGCCTTTAAACGACAGACTGATAATAACAAAAAAAAAACGTTATTTTTACAAGATGTAAATGTGTACTAAAAACATTAAAATAAACTAAAATCAAAAAATACGGAATTACGTTCGGGAACTGATCCTTAGGTGGCTTTGAAGCGATTGCGACGTTTTCGAATAGCTAAAACCAAATATCGAAAAATCTGCACTATAATGCCGACGTAGTCTTTTGTTTTTCTTACTGTATTGGCTAAAACCCGCGAAACGAACAGATTTAACACTACGAACCTGTAAGCCATATATACCACGTTCAAAACGCAAAAAAGTTCTTCTATAGTAACTTTTGTCGTATTGAGGTTACGTCTTCATTCGCAAAGTTATTTGACGTTTTTTGCGTTTTTGAAGGTGATGTAATAGTGTTTGTAAAATGTAAAATAATTAGGACTAAAATGTAACAATGAAGTCATACGACTACCTATTGAGTCAGTTTTTGGCGCATCTACAGGCGCCACTGTAAAAATATTGTGCTTCTTAGTTTTACTATAGTTGGTAGTGTTGTAGGCATAGCATACTTAGTTTTTAATGAACTGTAATGTTAAGGTACCTAGGCGATAGTGTAATTATTAAGTATTAAATTAAGGCCCCTTGCAGGGCCGGGCCCGGCGACGCTACCAAGCCGCCGCGTTTTTGTTAGTGTATAAAGATAGAATATATTAAAAACAGTGAGGATGTTTTTTTAGTCAGTTTTGGCGGCGCAGGGCCGGCTCTGGGCCCGCTGCTGCCAGGGGACCAGTTGAAAATATTATTTAGATTGTAAGTGAATGTTTTTTATTGTTAATAAGTCCTATTTGCGTTTCTTTGTTTTCCATTTTACTTTTCCTGTTTTCCCCCCAAAACCCCCTCCCTTAGAACCTCAAGTTCTTTTGTATTTCTAAGTTTCTTGTGTTGGTCAATAAAATCTTTGTCCTGGAAAAATGCTTTTTTATTACGTTACATACAAATCCTTTCAACGTCAAAATTTGACGGGTAAAAATAACCTTATTTTAACAGGTTTGTACTTTTAATGTCAAAATGTTAGTAATGTCACAATTTGATGTTTATGACCTTAAAAAATAAATTAATCCTTAAATTGTGACATGTGACCTTGGAAATAACATGGTTGTGACTTAATTTACATTTTAATGCCTAATATTTAAATCTTTAAATAATTTGATAGTTGTGACCTTGAAAATAACCTTATTTTAACAGGTTTGTACCTTTGTTGTCAAAATGTAACTTCTATTACATAAATAAAAAATATTATTCTAAATATATCACAATTTGACAGACGTGGCCTTTAAAATTATTAGTAATGTCATAATTTGATGTTTATGACCTTAAAAATAAATTAATCCTTAAATTGTGCCATGAGACCTTGAAAATAACATGGTTGTGACTTAATTTACATTTTAATGCCCAATATTTAAATCTTTAAATAATTTGATAGTTGTGACCTTGAAAATAACCTTAAAATAATTATTTTAACAGGTTTGTACCTTTGTTGTAAAAATTTAACTTCTATTACCTAAATAAAAAATAATACTATAAATTCAACAGACTTTAAAATTATTCTATTTTGAAAATTTGGCTTTAACTACTTTATAGAATTAAATGTTATATCAACATTGGACAAATTTTAGCCTGTAATGTCATAATTTAAAAAATAAATAAAAAAACTTGATGGAAATGTCAAAATTTGGCAAATGCGACCTTAAAAATAACTTTTATGAGATAATTTACTTTTAGTTCAAATTTGGTATTTAAATCCTTAAAATGTGACATGTGACCTTGAAAATAATATGGTTGTGTCTTAATTTACATTTGAATGCTTAATATTTAAATAATCTGATAGGTGTGACCTTGAAAATAACCTTATTTTGAAAGGTTTGTACCTTTGATTTCAAAATGTCAATTCTATTACCTAAATAAAAAATAGCACTCTAAATAATACCTACTTATATCACAATTTAACAGACGTGACCTTTAAAATTATTTTATTTTGACAATTTGCCTTCAACTACTTTATATGGTATATCAATTAGACAAATTTAACCCTTAAATGTCATAATTTGACGTTTATGACCTTAAGGTCACATTAGGTAAAATATCAAAATTTGACAGAAGCGACCTTAAAAATAACTTATTTATGAGATAATTTACCTTCATTTTAAATTTGGTATTAAAATCCTTTAAATGAAGCGTGACCTTGAAAATGACATAGTTGTGACTCAATTTACATTTAAATATTTAAAGAATTTGACAGGTGTGGCCTTAAAAATAACACTATTATAACAAATTTGTGCCTGTCAAAATGTAACTTCTATGGCCTTAAGAAAATAAAAAATACCATGTTAACATTTGGCAGTCAAATACCTTAATATGTCAATATTGGACAGATGTGGCCTTTAATTTAACTTTAAATCGAGAACTATGGTATTAACATTAGACACATCTGAGCCTTTAATGTCATAATTTGACGTTTATGACCTTGAAAAAGATAATAAAGTGTCATTAAGTAGAGAAAACAAAAAATAAAATGTTATTATTATTATAAGTATACTTATCGGTCCAATTATGAAAATGTCAAAATTACAATAAAAAGTATTTAAATCTTTAAAAAGGTGTGACCTTGAAAATAACCTTATTTTGACAGATTGGTACCTTTCATGTCAAAATTTTGTCATTATTTGGCAGTCAAGTTCTTTAAATGTCACAATTTGACAGATGTGGCCTTTAAAATGATTCTATTTACATAATTTGGTCAAATTTGAGCATTTAATGTCATAATTTGACGTTTATGACCTTGAAAAAATTAAAAAATGTAAATAAAGGGTGAAAAGGTAATTAAAACTTTAAAATGTCAAAATTTGACAGATGTGACTTAAGTCAATTAAATTTAATTCACTTAATAAAACTAAACAGCATCAAAATTACATAGATATGAGCCTTTAATGACGTTTGTGGCCTTAAACCATAAAACATTTCAATAAATCTTTAAATAATTTGACAGATGTGGCTTCGAACATTTTTTTTTACATTCTTTACCTTGAATTGGTCAAAATTTGGCAGCTTAATCCTTAAAATCTTATAATACTACAGATGTAGATTATACCTTGACATAATTATTTCAAAATGACTTTAAAACATAAAAAATCATCTTTTGACAGTTAAACTTTGAAAATATTAACTTTTTACCTTCTAACCAACCTTAAAATAGTTAAAATTGAACAGTTAAAATATCCTTATTTTGACAAAAATCAAATTAAAAACAACTCGCCAAATGTCCCATTTAAACTTGGCGCCACAAAGTTTAAAGGTCCGCCTGGTTCACCCGATCGCCCGCGGATGGCGCTAGTGTCCAAACAACAACTAAATTGTTTAAAAGCTTTGTTAGTTCACACGTTTTGCATTGCACCGTGAAATAATGCACTTGGACCTATTTATCTCGCTATCTGATATTTGTGCTGCGTCTAATTGCCGGAAAAAGTGAAAAAAGTCGCAGTTTAAGTGACCTTGCGACTTATTTTAAGCAGGACTTGCTTGATAAAAGCGATCTGTTGCCCGTGTTTTGTTTGTGATTGTTTATAGTGGTTTTGGGGTAGGTTTTTTCGTTATGTTGCCGATATGGGGGCATGTTTAACGTTGGAAAGGGAGGAAAGGGGGGCCAAAAAGAGGAGCGATGAAATCGACAGGCAATTGGGGGAGTTCGCCAAACAGCAGAACAATGTTATCAAGATTTTGTTACTCGGTAAGTTGATATTGAATATCTCGGAAACGGGAGATTCCTTTGGGTGGTAATTTGAGATAAATGAAGAGATAGTATTGCAGAATGTCATGCTAAAATTTCAATCTTCTAGGTTTACTTCTTGCAAAGTTATCAGTTAACAAAGTTGATGATAAAAAGAGCCCAAATGGGTGAAATTTTCAATATTTCTTCACTAAATTATTGTGCCAGATTTAAAAATAGCATTTGCATATACGAAATTTTTAAATATTTATGTTGTGAAAGCCAAGTCAAATAAATTCTTGGAAATTGAATGAATAATGCTTTAAAAAAGTCGAAATTGGACGTTTCACTTGCATTTAAATTAAATATTCCTGCATGTTTTAATATAATTTCCTCAATTAGAGTAAATTAATAGACAAGGCCGTATTAATAAAAACCCTTATGTATTAATTTACATAATTTCAAGACAAAATATCCCAATTTTCACATAACCTCACATATTTGACAGCTTTTGAATGTTTTAACATAAAATTGCAGTTAAATCATGTAAATGTCATAGCAGCCTCAAAAAAACTTGTTTTAACAATTGTACCTTTAAATAATAATACAAAATGTCAAATTTGATAGAATTGGAGCTTTAATGTCAAACGTTGACGTTTATCAAGCACTCTTATAAGTTATAACCTAAAATTTGACAGTCATGGCCTTGAAGTTGGCAAATTTTGACAAACATGGCCTTGGATATTAAAACCTTTATATCTTTCTTAATATTCAACCAATTTTAATGAAATTTTGACGGTTTATCATTTAAAGCACCCTCTGCAAGAAACAATAATAAAATGAATTGTAGGTGCCGGGGAAAGCGGCAAAAGCACGCTTGTCAAACAGATGAAAATAATACATGCTGATGGTTTCACGCACGCCGAATTGAGCAGTTTTCGGCCTACTGTGATGGACAACCTTTTGGCGTCCATGAAATACGTTTTGGTTGGTATGGGGAAGTTGAGGATAAATTTGGAGCATTCTAGGAACAAGGCGCATGCCCAGGTCGTTTTGGTGAACAAAAGTTGCTTTGACATGAGTTTTCAAGTGAGTTTTTTTTTTCGTTTTTTTTTCGATAGAAAATTTTTTTTTTTAGGTTTTACCCAATGTTGCTGCCTCTTTACAAGCTCTATGGTCAGATAGGGGAGTTCGGCTTGCTGTAGCCAGAGGCTATGAGTATGAATTAAATGATTCAGCTCTATAGTAAGTTTTGAATACATTTTTTATATATTTTTTTATATTATTATGTCAAAACTTAACTTTAAAATAATTTATATTCAACAACTACTATATTGACGTTTATGACCTTGAATATATAAAAAAAGTTAATAAAGGTAGTTAAAACCTCAAAATTTGGCAGATGCGACCGTATTTTTTTTATGAGATCTCAAACGTAAAAATTTGACAAATGTGACCTTTAAAATAACCGGAATTTTACATTTTGAGCCTTTAATGTCATAATTTGACGTTAGAGACCTTAAAAATAAAAAAAATCTTAAAGCGTCAAAATTTGGCAGATGCGACCTTGAAAATAACTTTTTATAAGATAATTTACATATAGTTTAAATTTGGTAGTTAAATTCATTAAATTTCAAAATTTCACAGATATGACCTACATTTGACATAATTTAAGCCTTTAATGTCATAATTTAAAGTTTATGAACAAAAATTTAAAAAAATTAAGGGTAAAAAGGTAGTTATAACCTTAAAATGTCAAAATTTGGCAGATGCGACCTTGAAAATAACTTTGTTATGAGATTATTTAATTCTTAAAATGTTAAAATTTGACAAATTCGATCTTTCAAATAACCTGCATTTGACATAATTTGAGCCTTAAACGTCATAATTTGACATTTAAAATGTGACCTTGAAAATATCCTAATTTTGACATAAATTACCTTAAAATTAAAAAAAACTTTTTATTATTTTGACAAACTGACTTCAAAATTAATTTATTATCTAATAATTTACATTCAACTACAATATTGACGTTTATGACCTTGAAAAAAAAAAAAGTTAATCAAGTGTCATTAGGTATTTAATACTTTAAAATTTGGCAGATGCAGATATGAGCTTAAATGTCAAAATTTGACAGATGTGACCTTTAAAATAACCTTGCGTTTGACATTTTGAGTTTTCATAATTTGACGTTAAAGACCCTAAAAATAAAAAAAATAATCAAGGTTAAAATCTTAAAACTTTAAAATGTGACATTTGTGACCTTGAAAATAATCTGATTTTGACATAATTTACCTTATAACACTTAATACAACTAAACAGTAAAAAATATTGACTTTTTTGTAAATGCAAACCCTTGATAAATAAATTTGACGTTTTAAGATCATTTTTATTTTTTTACAGTAGTGTCAAATTTGTATACATTTGACCTTGAAAACAACAAAATTGTCGTTTTAACATTTTGGCGCCCAACGCATCTTAAAATCTTTATAACTTAGTTAGTTTTAGTGCGATTTTGATAAAATTTTCAGGGTGTACGAAAACAAACACGCTTTATTCACTGGTATTAACAATTTTTAACTATATATTTTAGTTTGTTCGAAAATATGGAACGTATATGCGACCCCAAATACGTACCCAACCCAACGGACGTTTTGAGGGCTAGAGTCCGCACGCAGGGCATAATAGAGACTCAGTTTAGGATAAAAGAGATTATAGTTAGTATGTATGATGTGGGGGGTCAAAGATCTCAGAGGAGGAAGTGGATTTATTGTTTTGATGATGTACGCGCGGTTCTTTTTGTTATATCTTTGAGTGGATACGATATGACACTTCTGGTAAGGCTACCAAGTATAAAATAAGCCATAAAGGTTTTTACAATACTTTTTAGGAAGATCCAAATGTCAATAGGTTGGAAGAAAGCCTAAACCTGTTTGGACAAATAGTAAACAATCCATTTTTTCGGGATGCTTCCTTTGTTCTCTTCCTCAACAAATTCGACTTGTTCCGGGAAAAAATCCTCTACTCTCAACGTCACTTGCGACTTTATTTCCCCGACTACAAAGGCCCAGATAAAGATGTCGACAGAGGCGCCCTCTTCATCCAACACAAGTTCGTCTTGCGCAACGGTGATTCTCGTAAAGTCCTTTACCCGCATTTTACCACGGCCACTGATACGGCAAACGTCAGGGTGGTGTTCCAATCCGTCATGGAAATGGTCATATCCGCAAATTTGGGACAGGTTACGCTTTTGTAGCACGAATTTAGTTCCTAAAACTTCTTGCCACATCCGTACTATGATTTTCTGCCCTGTGCTGAAAGTACGACAGCTGTGACCTTGAAATTTTAACAGGTTGTCAAGAAAACCTTACTTCATACTCTCTATAAATTTGATCAGTTTATCTGCGATAATTTCAAAGTAATTAAGTCCAACGCGAAAACTATGACAGCTGTGACCTTGAAATTTTGACAGATCGTTAACATAACCTCACTTTACAATGCCCAAAAATTTGAAGGTTACACCTGAAGCCATTTATAAGTTATAAGCAAAAATGTTCTAGATGCCAAAATAATAAAGGATCTCAAATATTAAAAAATTAACGCAATATTAAAGAAAATTGCTGTGATATGGGGGCCTTTGTAATATACCAAGTGTTTTTGGTAGCAAAACGGCTGAAATTGTTTTAAAAAACTGCCATTGGTAGCTAAAAAATGTTATTTTTAAAGCTTATAATAGTTGTAGTTGTTTTTTTTATTAAATAAAATTATTTTGATGAATTTTTGTTTTTTTATTATTACCAGCCCACTTTTAATTTACAAGTAAGCTGCTTATGCTAAAAATAACCCTGTAGGTAATCTTTTTAAAGTATAAAAATTAAATTTGTATTCAAAAGACATTTTATTTATGACATAAATTATTCATTCTTTTGCGAATATTGGAAAATTGAGTCTCTATTTTTTCTTTGTAAAGTTATTTGAATGTTATCCACATCCATTGAAGTGGAAATTTAATTTAGACAGTACCGTAACAATTTGTTCTTTATTTATTGGCAAAAACCTGTTTTTATTACATTTTTGTCCTTATTTTTGCAATACAAACATAACCTCGCACTTTACAGACAGAATTTTATTTTTACATACATATATTTGTTAATGTTTCCTTAATTTAATCAAAACAATTTAAAATCACGAAATCCGCCCCTGCATTTAAATCTCGCGCGCATCACTTTGTGCAGTGAGTAGGCGTTGAACTACGTCAACAAGCAACAAGTAGGGTTATGTTAAAACGTCAAAATCTCATTATAATTCAAATATTCGCAAAGAACAGTTAAAATAGTGTTGATATAAGTGATTTAAGTGATAAAAATGTTAAGAACTATTAGTTTTGTGTTATTGGTAGCTGTTATTAGGCCTGGATGCAGTCAGTACTTAAAAAAATTGCAGGTATTTTTATATTAATATTGGGAACATATTTTTTTGTTGGGTAATAGTCCAGTTATTTTAGTTATTAGAGGAATTAATGTTATAAAAAGGCACTGCTAAAATATTATCATGTTTCTTTTACCAATATCTGGCTTGAGGGTCATAATTATTAATAATAAAAATTGCATTGTATAGGATAGCAAACAATAATTTTGAATGTACAGTTGTATTCAATAAAAAAGCGTACAAGAATTAGAATGAGAGAAAACTGTCAAAATAATATTATTGCTTAAAACCGGCTTATCACTGACATAAGTCATTAAAATAATTATTATAGGTTATAAAGAGCATTGACGTCGTAGGTTAATTAAATAATATTACAAAAATTATTACCTTTTAATAATGAAAAAAACAAACATTAAAAAAAAATTAATATTTAGTCATGCATCCCTGTTTTTCTATTACTTGAGCCAATCTATTTGGGATGAACTGAATTAAATTTAATACAATATTTGGATTAATATCTTCCCAGCAGTATAGTAGGTATAGTATAGTTGTATGGTTTCCCATAAATCCTCAGATATCTCAAAAAAGCAGCATCCTGTTCAGGGGTGGACATTTTGGGACGACCTGAACCAACTTTTTGGTTTAGTAAATCTTCCTGTTCCCAGCGTTGCTTAATTTTTAATATAGATTTTTTATTTCTATTATACCACAGTACGAATTGACCATTCTTCTTCGATTTTTGATACTATTTGAGCCTTTTTAACTAACGAGGCATTTTTATTTTCTACTGTCAGTTATAGTGACTTAAGTCAGTGGAAAGCCGGTTTTACGCAATAATGTTGACAGTTTTCTCTCATTCTAATTCTTGTACGCTTTTTTAATGAATACAACTGTACTAATGAGTTCAAAACATGTCTATGGTTCAAAAATAAAAAGTTGTTTTTTGGAGAAAAAAATGCCAGAAAATAAATCTGTCAACAATGTCAACTTCAGCTCCCTTATTTGATTGAAATTACGTCAATTTGACAAGTGTGCTACCTTGGATTTGGCTTAGTGATTTTGCTATGACTTTCTATTTTCCAATTTAAATAATTAAAAATTCTAGACTGAACCACATTGTAAAGTTATTATTTTCTATTTAAGGATAATCACAAACCTCGAGAATTAACTGACAGTGAATTAATAAAGATATCCGGTTTATCAAATCCAGGCCACATTGACAATGTTTTGGACAACATACTGATACCAAGAGTGGTTGGTACAAAAAATCACAAAAAAGTTTTTGATTATATATCTAAAGAGTTGGAAGATTTAGATTGGCATGTAGAAATCGATGAATTTACAGACAACACGCCTAAATTTGGCAAATTGACGTTCAAAAATATTATTGCCAAACTTAACCCTAATGCAGAGAGGTACTTAACGCTTGCCTGTCACTATGATAGCAAGTATTTTCCTAGCAATGACTTTGTGGGTAAGTAACTAGGTACTTCTCATAGTTTAATTACATCTCCAAAACTAATGGGGTAGTTAAATTTTTTCTGACCTATACTTTTTATGGTTTTATTCAAGGCGTTTTGTAATATTAAACATTTCTGTGAAATCAGAATTTCAATTGAGTTTACCGTTTTCGAGATATTCACAAAAAATATAAATTTTTATGACGTCACAAACCTCGCCATGTGACCAACATTCTAAGATTTCTATTGGTTGAAAATTACCCTGTTGTCAAGTTGTCTTGTTAATGATTTCATTCGGTTATGTCAGAAAATACCCGAAGAGGTTATGTACGAATACTGTCACTGTCAGTTGAGTGAAAGATGGTCACCAAATTCATTAAGTACCTATCTTCCTTATTACGAGGTATCATATTACTGTTTGATATTTTAGAGTCCAAGATATATCTAAAAGAATATAAAGAACTAGGCATTATACTAATGAAATGCATTTACGACAAAATATGATTATAATTATAGGTACTTACTTTATTTGTTTAAAAGCTCCAATGTTCAATGTAACCAACCATTCCACAAGATTCCTCTGCTTTGGAGTCCGTTATTAATAAATCACTTATCTAATATCAATTACAAATAACATTGATTTTCAATAATCAAAATTTAAAAAAAACATAACCCGAAAAAAAGAAACGTAAAAAAATCAATTCTTCTTCTTCTCAACTAAAATTATAGATCGAGTGGTTTTAAAACTAAAATATTATAACGTGGCGCCATCTATCGTAAGAATCTTAAACTAAACACACTGGCAACCATAGAAAAAGCTGGCAACGTTGTCAATAGCCTAGTGACGTAATTAGGAGATTTTTTTTGTAAACATCTCGAAAACGGTAAACTCAATTGAAATTCCGATTTCGCAGGAATGTTTAAAATTACAAAACGCCTTGAATAAAACCATAAAAAGTATGGGTCAGAAAAAATTTAACTACCTCATTCCGGATCTAGGAGCTACCGATTCGGCTGTTCCCTGCGCAATGCTGCTCAACTTAGCGCGCGTTCTGCGCAGCAATCTTGATGGCGTAAAAAACAACGATTTGAGTCTGCAGCTGGTGTTTTTTGACGGGGAGGAGGCATTCGTGAACTGGGGGCCCAAAGATTCCATCTACGGGGCCAGGCATCTGGCGCAAACGTACCACGATACGAACTCTGTCAGTCGCAGTTCCGGCGAGAATGTATCGCAGCTACAGAAAATGGACATGTTGGTTCTTCTGGACCTAATTGGGCACAGGGACGCTTCTTTTTATAGTTATTTTCCGGAGACCGAAAAGTGGTAATGTAGCAAACATTTCCGCGTTTTTTCTTAAGGTTTTACCGGATTATTTTGAAGGTATGTCAGGATGGCAAATTTGGAGGATAGAATGAAAGATTTGGGGCTGTTGAAGAAATACGGCAACCATGTTTATTTTAAGAAGCAAAGGCATTATGGTGGTATTGAGGATGACCATATACCGTTCTTAAAGAGGGGTAAGTCTAAAAAGTCATTTCATTTAGTGTAATAACTGTAAAAAAATGCTTCTATATCGAATTTAAACCGTTGTTGCTCAATTTTTACTGGAGAAACTTGTATTTTTACAAAAAAAATTGACAAACTAACACTGCCATCTTGAAAGCCGGTAAAACAGATTCCCACATCAATTTGGTTACTCTATTTTTGTATAGATGTCGCTGTATACAAATATTTAAATTAATTAGTGATAAATTATTTTTTAATGTACCTAATTATAATAATTTATTATAAAAATTATTATTTTAACATTTTTATTCTAAAATAAATTCTAAATTGTATTCGATATTCTTAACATTGTGTATTTTTAAATAGTGTTTTTGACACACCTTAATGGGTTTTTGACCAAGTTAAATTGTGTTTTTGGTAGCTTTTAAAAACTTCAAACATTCATTTTAAACATTTCATTTTTAATTGGGTTTTTGAAATCCTAAATTGTGTTTTTCAGAAATTTTAAAGTTTGTTTTAGTCAAAAACTGTTTGACATTGAAATATGAATCAGATTCAGAGATGTGTTTCTTTTGACAAAAATGTGTTTTTAACATTCTAATGTGTTTTTGATACTTCAAAATAGGGTAATTGGAATTTTAATTGTGTTTTTGACATTCTAAACTGTTTTTGTTATTATAAATTTCTTAAGTGTTTTTCTATTCTTAATAGAGGCTGGCAACAAATTTTGTTTTTAAATAAATTTTTGATATTTTTGATTGGTTAATTATTGGCATTATTATTATTTTTACATTTTTATTCTAAAATAAATTCTAAATTGTGTTGGACATTCTTAATTGTGTTGTGTATTTTTAAATAGTGTTTTTGACACACCTGAATGGGTTTTTGACCAATCTAAATTGTGTTTTTGGTAGCATTTAAAAACGTCAAACATTCATTTTAAACATTATCATTTTTAAATGGGTTTTTGACATCCTAAATTGTTTTTTCAGAAATTTTAAAGTTTGTTTTAGTCAAAAACTGTTTGACATTCTAAAATATGTTTAAATATGAATCAGATTCAGAGATGTGTTTCTTTTGACAAAAATGTGTTTTTAACATTCTAATGTGTTTTTGATACTTCAAAATATGTTGTTATTGGAATTTTAATTGGAATTGGAATTTTAATTGTGTATTTGTTATTATAAATTTTCACTAGTAATACCACTAGAGGTCAAATTATTTCCGGAAATTTTTTCGAGCTCATGAATATTTTGAAAATTATCCCGAGTCGAAGACGAGGGATAATTTTCTAAAAATATTCATGAGGGAGAAAAAATTTCCGGATTTAATTTGACCTCGTGTGGTATTCGGTAAGAAAATTCCACACCAAATTGTGTTTAAATAATTAAAATTTATTTTTTGATTTAACTTGACCTCGACTTGATTATTTAGTTACCATGGCAACTAAGTCAACCCCAACCTAAAAGTTATTTCAGTTTTGAAGCTGTCAAGCGGCACGACGTAAAAAAAATGTGAAATTGTCTGCTGTAATGATCAATCATCGTGCAATGACTTATTTACCCGCATTATTAGAGGATTGTGGCTCCTACTTGAAGAAAGAAAATTTGTTTTGAATTGTTCACGAATATTTGCATCTTAACTATTCAAAACTCAAAGTGCTAAATGGAAAAAAAGATGAATAGAATAGTGTCTAAATATTATATATATTTCATTAGACATAGACATTTAATTTATTTCAAGTCCAGCATTTTCGCCATTAAGAAGAAAGGAGGTGTCCAACGAATATAGAAAACCTCTAATAAACTTTGTAATGGAAATGTATCAAAATTATCATGTACCAGATTGTCAAAAAAATATTCTCATTATAAACGTCAAAAAATTTCCAGTATAATTCGCTGTTGGGTACCCACGAGGAAAAAATTTCCACTAAAATTCAACCGTTGCCATGGTGATCTATCAAAAATACACGTTTTGATTGGTTTAAAATTACAGGTGTGGAATTTTCTATAGTGTTTTTGTATTCTTAATTGTGTTTTTAAATATATTTTTGACATTTTTGATTGGTTAATTATTGACATTTTATGTTTGTAAAAATAAATAAATAAATAAAACTGCAATCAAAAAAATATTATTTTTTACATTTTTAGGGGTTCCAATTTTACATCTCATCTCATCCCCCTTCCCCCGAGCCTGGCACACCCCACAGGACAACAGGGATATAGTCGACATGAATGCGACAGAGAACATTCAAAAAATACTCATGGCATTTTTGGTGGAATATATGAATATGTCAGTAAAAAAATTTTAGATTATTAATACTCAAACATTTATATTATATTAATTAAACGTGGGAACAAATATTAACCAACGAAAAATACAAAAAAAGACTTATATTATATACAATCAAACAAAGAAAGCTCAAATTATTTTTTAAGCAATATATATTTTTAGCTTTATAGTTTTTACATATATTTTTGTATTATTATTTTTTTGGACAGCCTTTTGGACAATGGGAATTTACCAGAAAAGGAGCTATGACATTTTTCTACAAGGAAGCTTTAAGGGTGGATTTTTTTCATTATTCAAGTATTATTTTTAAAGCAATGACACTTTTACATTCCTATGTAACTTAAATTCTTTCTAGTCTACTAATTTTGCTACTGTTGTTTTTGGGAGTACCATTAAATATTATTTAAAAAAACAATTTTGTTTTATTCACCTTTCATCATAAAGCTTTTTTACGCTAGTTGAATAAAATAATTGTCATACATTATTAAAATTAAAGGTCACACCTATGATTCATATGTACGAGTATGCTGGGTTGCCTACCTATAACTCTGGAATTTCTTAATGGACCTGTTAATTTTTTTTTAATTTGTGATTCAATCATTTATATGATTCATAGGTCAAATATTTCTTGTTTATGATGGTGTGGTATTATTAATAAGATAAGAGGACCTTTCTGTGGTGTCCACATATTTAGAGAAATATGTGGTAGTGTCTATTTATAATTAATTTATTTTTAATTAATTTTGCGGTTTGTGTTTGTAAATTTATTTAATTTTAACAATATGTCGTAAAACCGATTGCTTTATGCGTACGAATGCGTCACTTTTTAATCTGGAATTAAATATATTAAATATAAACTGTTACATAATGAATTATTCTATCATCGGATGACAGAATAAACACTGGTGGCGCCATCTCTTTGTTTATTATCTAACAACTTTTAGAACGAACCTCACTTTCTATCAATTAAATTAATTTTCTCTGATATTTTTTGAAAACGAAAAAGTATAGTCTAAAACACATTAAATGTGAATTGATATTCCAAACTTGTTACAGTGATAGTGTCGTAAAATATAAACTTCAATCTTTATTTTTAACATATTTTAACATGAAACAATATCGCATTTCATAAATTTATCGCATTTCCGGAAAATAAAGTATGATAAAAATAATGTTTTTGAATAAAAATTAAATTTTAAAATCGATGCGGCAATGAAAATACGTTTTTACAACATAATAATAAGGGCTGTGGTTTTACAGTTAACTTAACAAATTTGGTAAACCACGATTTTTTTTTGACTTTATATTGCATAAATTCGTTTCTTATTAAATAAATAAAAACTTTTCTTGTAAAATAAAAAGAACAAAAAATCTTGAAAGAAATATAAATAAAATCATAATAAATTCTAAATTTAAATTAAGGTCTTATTTAAATGTACGTAAACTTAATAAATAAATTTATAACTTTCTTAAAATATGTTTTTGACATTTTTTGTTCCAAAATAAATTCTATATTCTAAATTGTGTTCGACATTGTTAATTGTGTTCTTAACATTTTCAAATTGTGTTTTTGCCACCCCATAATGGGTTTTTGACCAAACTAAATTGTGTTTTTGGTAGCATTTAAAAACGTCAAACATTCATTTTAAACATTATCATTCTTAATTGGGTTTTTAACATCTTAAATTGTGTTTTTTTTTAATTTTAGAGTGTGTTTTTGTCACACATTCGACGATGTGTTTCCGTTGACTAAAATGTTCTAATGTGTTTTTAATACTTCAAAATATGTTGTAATCGCAATTTTAATTGTGTTTTTCACATTATAAACTGTTTTTGTTATTATAAATTGACAACCAAAATGTGTTTTTGACAATCTAAATTGTCTTTTTAAATGTATTTTTTAGATTTTTGATTGGTTATTTATTAACATTGTATATTTGTACCTTTCAAAATATCACATTCTTAATTGTTTGTTTAACATCCTAAATTGTGTTTTTTTTTTCGATTTTTTTTTTAATTCTAAATCATGTTTAAATATTAATCAGATTAAGAGAGATGTGTTTCTGTTCACTAAAATGTGTTTTTAACATTCGAATGTGTTTTTGCAACTTTAATTGTGTTTTTGACATTATAGGTAAACTGTTTTTGTTATTATAAATTTCGAGAGTGTTTTTGGATTCTTAATAGAGGGTGACAACCAAAATGTGTTTTATATGTATTTTTGAGACTTTTGAGTGGTTATTTATTAGCATTGTATATTTGTAACTTTTAAAATATCAAATTCTTAATTGTTTGTTTAACATCCTAATTGTGTTTTTTAGAAATTTTAAAGTGTTTTTTTCCAAAAAAATTTGATATTTTAAAATATGTTTAAATATTAATTAGATTCGGAGATGTTTTTCTATTAACTAAAATGTGTTTTTAACATTCTAAAATACGTTTTAATAGTTAAAAATGAATAGAGTATAAACAGTCGAACTAAATTACACATAATTCTCATTTTGATTCAAGTTATCAAGAATTCGAGTTATCGAAGTTCTACTGTATTTTGTAATACATTTGAAAAGTCTAAACATAGTAGATTTAAAATTACCAGGAACGGTTGGACAGCATTTGAATAAAAACGTTACGACTCGTACTCGACGTCCATCATTGACCAAACGCCAAGAACGCTTGACGAAACGACTCGCTGCTGCCAGCAGGTTTTCATGTATACATACGTACTAAAGGCGTTTAGTCGCTAACGCACGGTCTCGCCTAACGGATTCTCTTAGACTCAGGAGAACGCGCTTGAAATTCTGTTGCCCACATAAGTTGCTAGAATAAGGTGTAGTCTTTAGAAGTGGCATACCGTATAAGTTCTCCACATTGTTTAATGTTGTGACTTGATTTTTAAACAATAAACAAATTAGGTAAGTGTTTTATATTTTATTTTAGTTACCTATAGTATAGTAGTATAGATTTACACCGGGTGGTACCTACCTTATTACACCGGAAGTAAGGAATTAGCGACTCAAACACGATTTCTATATTTATAAAAAAACAAATTAAAAAAACATTAAGCAATACTCAGTTCACCAAAATACCACATAGTGGTGATAAAATTAATCATATTTATCAATAGAATCAATATATAAAGTTTACCTTAAATATTATTGCAATATTGGTAGGTTTTTTGTTATTTTTGCAATATTACAATATTTTATGACAATTCATTGGGAACTAATCAAACTCAAGGTCCAATATAATTTAATATATCAACAATAATAAATAAAATATTACTCATGTTTCATACCTATAGGTAACAACTACATACGCCCAAAATATTAAATCATCTTTATATGCCGATTATTTAAAAACTACTGCATTTTTTTTGTTTTTCTTTTTTTATTAAAAAATATGATTATTGGTGATTATTTTGACATATCCAAGACTTGTTTACCTTAATTATAATTATATAACACAGCTTAATTTAGGATTTTTTAATTTTTTAAAGAAGACATTTCTTCTTTTTAAGTACTAGACATGTTTTATGCTTAAGTATACTTAACAATGACTAAGTGTACATTATTTTCCCATGCCCATTATACATTTTAATTACATTGTTTTATGTTTAAACAGTACCTACAATGTATTGCGATTCTTTGTTACTATTACAAAAATATGACTTTCTGAAGTTAGCTTTAAGTTTGTTGACAGTTGTCAAATGTCATACAGTTGTCAAAAGAAAGTGGCCTTCTTGTGAATAAATGTGGAAATTGTTTTATTATCTCAATACAAAAATAAAAAATTATTATTCTAGCCAATGATTGGCTGCCAATCTTTAAAGGTTTATATGTACGTTTGTAGGTACTAAGCTTTTTATTTCGCTAGTATTTGTAGGTAAAGTATTAAAAATTTGGGTCGAGTAACTACCCATAAATCATCCTCTTTACTTTTACTGTAAAAAACTGATTCTATATCAACTTTAAACGGTTGTTAGTCCATTTTCAAGGGATGAATTTCGATTTTTGTAGAAAAAAATGACATAAAATAAAAAAAAAATATTTTTATAAATAATAGATGGAGAAAAACTATAGTTTGCGAGTATCAAACGTGATACATAATAAACATTAAATTAAACGTTTTCTTTTTTAAAGTTTTTGTTTATTACTTTGACCTTTAGTGAATCCTCATCTATTAATAGACTACAATCAAAACAAACTTAAGAGGTAAAAGTTTTATACAAACAGTGCCATTTGCCAAAATTAAAAATAAATATGGAAAAACAACAACACATGTAAATTTTATGTATGTATGTAGGTAATGAAATCTAAAAATGTTTTTTCTACGCTTATTACGGAATTTGACAGTTCTTAAATGACTTTTTAATCTGGAATTACGTATATTCCATAAAGTGTTACAGAATAATTATTCCGCACAGATTCTAATGATGGAATGAGCACTGGGGGCGACATCTCTATGTTTATTTTATAACTCACTTGTATTCCTACCAAATCTAGTTTTTTCAGAAAGGCCCGGTAGAAAATATTAATCGGTAGTATACAATAGGATTTAAAACAGTTTGCGTTAACAAAAATACCCAAAATATATCTTCTTTACAAGCTAGTTGTAATTCTGTTTGGCCGATTTAGTAGGATTCTATTAGAATATTTAGGTTTGACTTAGTCCCAAAGAGATGGCAGCACTGGTTAATTGTTTACGTCTGTCATTAGTTAATTCAAAATTTGAAATTCAAATAATAACTTATTTGCCATTCCTTACAATTTGTCCATTTCTTCTTTATACTTCCTAATTTAGGTTCTGCAAAATTATGTAAGTAATTTTTATAAGCTTATTTAAAAATTATCTTGTTTACAACCATCATAAAATCTAACATCTGTCAAAAGATAACCTAACTTTTTTCCAATTAAATTATTTCTGTGGTATTTTTTATAAGCGTAGAAAAAGTATAGTCTGAAACACGTTTGGAATTGCATATTCCGCTCTCGTGAAACCGTCACACTCGCCTTCGGCTCGTGTGACAAACTTTTCACTCGAGCGGAATATGCTATATTCCAAACTTGTTACAGAATATACTATTCCAATTCATTTATTGCACCATTTTCGCTTGTGATGTAATACACAAACAGTCACCTGTTACAAGGACAACATTATCCGCAAAATGCATTATTAAGGGGTCTTTCCGTGTGGGCGCTTAAGGGGGGATTCAGGTCAAAAATCACAAATTTAAGATGAATTGATAAAAA